CTGGGCATTCTATCAGCAGACTGCTCTCTGACTGTGTAGCTACTTTTCTCTGGTACTTCTCTGTAGCCAGCCTACTTTTCTCCAAGATGAACTTAAGCAAAACATTAAGAAATGTAGCTGGCTACATTCTTTCAGTGATGAACATTAGAAATATGATGTCTGTTAAGTTGCATCAATTCAAATCTGGTATAGGAACAAAAAGTCAATACACGTCTTCTAAAATAGACTAGTATTTTAATTAATGCAAACACTTCAATGGTAAATATGATGTTCGTGTATATACGGGCTCCCTGAAACACCACGCAGGGCAGACAGAGAACTGAGCTATTGTTATAAGTTCTTCTTTAAATACTCTGACAGAGAGAGTTCCCATCTCCCTGCTGGGCCTGTCAGATTAGAGGCTGGGTGTGGTTTAAACTTACCCAACCTATCGATGGCGCACAGGCTGGTCCCAGCCCCTTGGCACTTCACTGTTGCCGGGCATTAGTTGTTATCTTTACAACTTGTCTCGAGTCAGCAACCTCAGACATAGTTTGTTCTTCTTCATTGTAGCAGAACACATGTCCTTGAGCGGTTTAACAAAGAGGCAGTGTGTGTGTGTCACAAGTCTGTCTCAGCCTACCCCCTAACGGTTCCTCACATTAATCACAGCTTGTTATGTTAAACAATCTATATCAGTACAGCACAAACCTATTATGTTTAATCATTAATGTATTCTTTCTAAGCTAGGCATCACATCTAGTTGTAAGAGAATAGATCCCCACATGTCCATGCATCATTTTGCTAAAGATACTGCTTTGTTTTTTATTGTAAGCTCATTTACTTGTGTGGCTGCCAGCCAAATAGTGTTGCACTTCTGTTGTCCTCTGTCAATGAAGCCGTTTTCTGCCACATGTGTTGGACTAATGCATTTTCTGTGAAGGTTGCATGTCCCTGATAACACTGAAGCAAAAAAATAAAACTGACTTTCAATATAAAAAGCGACCATTGTCTACACAGGTGAACTGACCTGCTCACGTTGTGCTATTTACAAACAAACACAGGCCTGGCTCAACTGTTTTGGGGAACAATGGAAGCTTCATAATGTGACAGGTGAAATGAATGCAATCTGCTTTATCTCCTAACGTATTGCACAAGTTGCCTGCAGGACTTTACTTGAGTAGCTACACATTTTAAATGTATTGAAAAACTTCAAGGAAATAGTTTAAACAGTATTGCTGTTATTGGAAAAACCATCCCGTGGCTATTTCCAAATACCCCGGTATACGGTATGTATACTAGGGCTGGGCGACATGGACAAAATATCATATCACAATATTCTTCTGATTTTTGACGGTATTTTATATTTTTGAATAATACATGTTCTAAATATGCTTTAGTAGTTCATGACCATGGAGTGGCAACACATACATTATAAGGGATTTCAATGGGACTTTCTCCATTTATACTGTTGAATCCTACTCCCAAAAAAATATTTTCAGAATGTTCATACATTTCTGTATTTGCTGCACTTTTATTTCCACATTGTGCCACGCATCATTGTATGGGCAAAAAATCTAGGCCTAGTTAATTGGTGAACTGTTGGACTCATGGAAATATGATTATTCTAATTCATATAGTGGGCAGCACCTTGAATGCATTGTTTTGACGTGATAACAAATGAATAAGCCAGTGAGGAATTATTGACAGGGTAGGAACCAATCTGTTGGTCAGTGTTTCCAGGTGACCCTAGATGTTACATTACATGTTTTCTTACTTCATGTAGCTAGCTAGCCAACATATTCATGCTTCGCATATTCCTCTCTGACATGCTTATCTAGGCCTACACCAGCACTGGTACCAGGCAGTATTAGCTAACTAGCTACATTTGCGCTGACTCTTATCTGGCTGGCTAGCTAGCTTGCTAAATGTGCGAACTATTGATTTGGAATTTGCGGCTAACACAAATTATCTTAGCAACACCTTGCTAAAAAAAGACAAACTAGCAAACAGTAATGCACAAACTAATAATGCAATTCTAGAACGCTTGTGGAAAGCAGCATGTCACCAACATTGTTGCATCCATCTGCCCATGCAGAGTGAACGGCAAGAAAGTGCTTGTGACTCCGTGGTCGAGCAACGGGGCAGGGCTTGGTGTGATTAGCGGCATGCAGGAGGAGAGGGAGATGGCTCAAATAGCATATAGAGTAAACTATCAAAATGGACATTATACTCGCCAGAGTTGCGTATCACGTTTAACGAACCAAACATTTAAATACTGTTAGAAGGTCAAGTAAAAACTCAAACTGGTCAGTGTGTGGTGTAAAATATGGTATACCGCCCATGCCTCCATATAGCGTCAAAGTGTATGTTGCTAACCAAATGTTAGGCTAGGAGCAAGAGGAAATAGTGTTTTAATAAAAGCCTTATTGCTTTTCTCTTAAATGGGCAAAAGGTTGTGCCTTTTTCCCCCACTGATGGATCAACTTTATTTCAGAGTCTGTCGAGCTCTCTTCGGCAAGATTCTGAAAGATACTGGTAACCGATGTTCCCTCTAAGCCTGGCAGAAGCGCGAGATTGAACTTCTCAACATTCAAGAGTTTTCCCCCTTATGATTGAATCAACATATTAGCCACTTTCAATGCAACATACCGAAGCAAAATGAACTATGCTAGACTTAGTATGCAAAACAAACTACGCAAGAGATTTTGCATTGACATGCACAACTCAGCCCGTACTCTACACAGACCGGTGCGGCAGAACCAATCAGAGCTTCAGTCGGCCTATATGCAAATATCCCATTGCCATATATAGATCTGTGCCATTCACGTTGAACTGGACTGTGTTTACAGCATAAGCGGTCGTGAGTAGATGCGCTTGTTTTGAGATCCATGCGAGAGCTGCATGTAGCCACGTGTGCAGATTTGCTCAGATCCTTTGCTAGATAGTGAGTTTTTAGCCCAGTGTTAGATAATTTGTAGTCAGCAATGGGGGCGTGATTGCGTCCTACAAGAGCACAAAACGTGTACTTTTCTAGATATCTTTGCAAAGCGAGTTGGGTAAAAAGCTATTTTTTGGGGTCTTAAAGGGCCAGTGTTGTATTTTGAGACCGGCTTGAATAAGCTAAGTAGCTAATAGGCATAGGGTAGCATAATTTGTCTGATTCTCTGTATAATGGTATGGGAATAATGCATTTTATTTTGTAAAGTGGTTTCTTGCGTCGAACACAACATTTTCAGTCACCTTGCCTGAAGGACAAGTGAATAAGCAGGTTAATGTCAAATCGTGCATTTTTTCCCCCCCTCAAAGTCTCATGGAAAGTAGGCATTGAACACCACACATTAACTGCTACTGTAGGCTGAATGATAGAACAGCTATTTCCATGTTAAAATGTTATGGGATGCATTTTCTCCATTGTTTTTGATGGTAGGCCACTACATTATAATCAAATAGCCACAGAAGCCTACTTGACCACTGTCTGAAACTAACTTAAAGCGGGTGAAGCCTCGGTGTTCACAGTAAATGCGCGCTGGAAGTTGCACTGAATTTTCACAACGTTCAAGTTTGCGCTCAGCAGACCTGAAATTTGCTCATTGCTAGAAAAAATTAGGGAATATTGCTGGTAACTAACCCAAGATATATCATCGCCGTTGTTTCCAATTGGAGCAAATGAAGCACAATGGGCAAAATAATCAAGGAGGTGGGCAGAACTAAGCACAAGCTAGCAAGAGCCTATTGCCGTATTTTAGGCTGCATTTGCATAGTTCCGTTACTACTCTGAAGTGCGCGTGTGCAATAACTCAATACACCCGTGCACTCGTTCTAAACAACGCCATTTTTTGACATTTTGGCAAATGGTCAAGTCTACATAACTTAGTGCACAGATTCTAGTTTGGGGAACCGAAAGCGGTGTTGAGATTGAATCTTTCCTTGATGAGAGAATTAAAAGAATGTCAGCCGAGTTTAATCTAGAACCATTTTCTCCCACTTCCCGCCACTGGACTGCCGATCATCACCATATTTGGTGGTGAGTGGAAGTTCTAAACGGATGCTTCAGATTTATACCCCCTGTGACGTGTCTGGGTTTCGCCTTTTGTCTGTGGTGGTACTTTTTAATCAAATGTTGTGTTAGCCTAATTAATCAGCAACCTGAAATGTCCCATATCCAAGTTTTTGAATGTCAATGATTTACTGAAGTTTAGTACGATGTCACTACACATTTTGTAACGTTTATTTTACTTTTCTTTCCCACAGGGCTGATCTCGGACGTGAGTATCACCAATGCTAACCGGTATATGCCATGAATTGTAAGGAAGCGACAGAGAAGGTTGTCCTGTCATGGTCGCGATTCACCTCAGCTGGCCAAACTACTCTACTGGAGACCCTGAAGGCATTCAGTCCTATGTCAAAAGACCTTTTCGACAGTGAAAAGGAACTGGCCACTTTTATTGAGGGACTCAAAGATGAAGGTCACAAGCCTACTGTACTTAAAAGTAAAGATGTTTATGGTTACAGGTCTTGTACTTCAGTACTCAGGCCTGTAGTAAAGACGCAGAGTACACTGGACATTGCTTCCTCAAAGGTTAAAAAGACTGGCAAAAAGAAAGGTCGAAAACCCCTGGGCAAGAACACAGAAATCAACTATGCTTTGTTAAGTGCAGCAGCGAAAGTTGTCCTGAAGAATCAACCCAAGATTCTTTTGACAAATCTGTCAAAGGAGTCTCTCAAACAGACTGTCCTCTCAAAACCACCAGAATTGGTTGTTGGGCCTGTCCAGATGCAGTCATACATAAGACTGACAAACATTATTGGACCCTCTACAGGCCACACTGCGAGACTGCAGTTCCACACAGGTGTGGTCAGAAGAGGTAACGGTGCCGAACTCTCATCGGCCACCATCTCTAACAGGGACACAAGCACTGCATTTGGAAGGTACCGGAAACTCCGCAAAATCAGTAACTTTGAGGAGAGTGAACTTTGTGCCTTGCCCAGTCAATATCATTGGAGTCCCTGTTCTTGCCATGCTGCAAAACGACCGGGTTTTGAAGGAATGCAACAGAATGCCTTGCTGGAGGGACCAGAAAAGGAAAAGGACTGATGAGGCTGAGGACAAACTCTGTGAAGAGGCCCAGAAATGGGGTCTGGCTGGTCAAAGAGCAGGAAGACCGCCGACTGAGCCAGAACAACCTGAGGTGATCAAGGTTGATGACTCGATCACAGACAAGGAGGTGAGGTAAGCCCAGAAGATCCTTCGAGGTCACCGGTCATAGATTTGACCACTTATTGCCTACCCAATGTGAACGGCCGTCAAGAGTCTTAGTCCATTTGTCCTCCATGTACATTTTTAAACCTTTTTATTTTTTTATTTTATTTTTAGTTGCATCTCATATCGAGACAGTGCTTTGTATTAGCTGTGCTCAGCTTGGGAGGATTGGGATTGTTTGGGATACTTTTCTGAGATTGGAAAAAATGATATTTATGTTAATATGTTTACATAAGAGGACACTGGGGTATTGCCTAAACATCCAAAAATATGCTTTATGTTTTGTCTTAACACTGCACATAGTATAGGTCACCCCTTGACTGATAAGGGAAGGAATGGAGAAGTGTGGTGAGGCACAATGTATGTCCCCATATGAGTTGTACCTACAGTATATTTGTCTTTTTACACTTTTTTTCTTCTATTGGACCCTTATGAAATGTAATTTTCTTATCTGTTTTATAAATGATATAAACATCTTTGACAATGAAGCCATGTCATGTATAATTATGCAGCATTCACTTGCTAGAATTTTACATTTGAGTCATTTAGCAGACGCTCTTATCCAGAGCGACTTAGTTAGTGCGTACATTTTTCATACTGGCCCCCGTGGGAATCGAACCCACAACCCTGGCGTTGCAAGTGCCATGCTCTACCAACTGAGCTACAGGAGGGCTATATACATACAGATATTTTATATCACTTTCTAGTCATGTCATTACTGTATTTCGGATAGTTGGGTCCATTGAAATGGTGTGATTTTGAAAGTTAGGAGGTCCTATACATTTTAGTAATTTAGCAGACGCTCTTATCCAGAGCGACTTACAGTTAGTTAGTGAGTGCATACATAATTTTTTTATACTGGCCCCCCCGTAGGAATCAAACCCCATGCCAAACGCCATGCTCTACCAACTGAGCTACATCATTGCCGGCCATTTCCCTCCCCTACCCTGGACGACGCTGGGCCAATTTTGCGCCGCCCCATGGGTCTCCCGGAGCCTGGATTCGAACCAGTATCTCTAGTGGCACAGCTAGCACTCCAATGCAGTGCCTTAGACCACTGCGTCACTCGGGAGACCTATACATTTGTTAAAGGATGTATATGAAACATTTGAACAGGGCAAACAACTGTTACAAAACAACTCTACAACCACCCAGTAGCCTATTCACAACCAATAGTAATCTCAATTTCATTTTTTCTGCAGAGATATTAAAAGTTGGATTTCTTTTAATTGCGCTGTGACATTACTGGGTAACCATTCGCTAAACTGGTGGCATAGGAATCAATGCGTGGAACTACAAACATTGTGCAGCATTTTAGATCATGAAGCTATGTTCTGACACAACGCTTTGGATAATTTACAGCTGTCAATAGTGATGACAAGGTGATTTGCATAATAGGCCTATTCATCACTGAAATGTGCTGATCATAATAGCTGTAATATCATAACAGTAATTGTGACGTAAAATATGTGACACTGGGATGGATTGATCAGGGGATGTTCATTTAACAAACAACCCCTTTAGCTGTCCAACTCAAGGCTCATATGTCCAAAAGGCTACTGCCTGGGAGTGTACAGTCATAAGGTCTGAATGCTAGCTGCCACGATCTCATATTAGAAAACATGCCATGGTTTCTGCCTATAAAACTCCTCTGACTAACTAGCCTATTATTCAAGCCATTATTGGAGGTACAGAACATCACATGAATAAGGCAGAGCGCTAGGGGAGTTGGCAGCCCATGGGACCACTGGGGTATAGGTGCATGAATTTTCCACCTCTCAAAACCCAGCTAACAAACGTTCCCACAACTTTAGAGAACGTTCCCTTAAGTCTCAGGTCATTACCTAATGTTTTCATAGGAATGTTCCAGTGATGTGCAAGGACTGTTTCCAGGAGACCATTCCTTTAATGTCAAACATAACGTACCCAGAATGCGGTTACCATGTTCACAGAATATTCAATATTAATGTTCTAGACATGTTTTCTAAGGGTTAGGAGAATATTCCATCAGTCTCACCAAACATGCACATTTACATTTTAGTCATTTAGCAGACACTCTTATCCAGAGCGACTTAGTGAGTGCATACATTTTCATACTGGCTCCCCGTGGGACTCGAACCCACAACCCTGGAGTTGCAAGCACCATGCTCTACCAACGGAGCTACACGGGGGGCTCATGGCAAACTATAAAATATGAACGTTCTAGATACGTTTCATGGGAACGTTGCCAGAACATTTGTGTATCAGTTGTCCGGACGTCGCATGATGATCCCAAAGAAATATTCTTGAAACCAAAACATTTGTTTCATCATTACACGTCACCCCTTGTTACTGTGGCCAAGCCCATCAAGGCTCTGATATTTGAACCACTGATCCATTCAGAGCTCTTTGTTTGTTGGCAAGGTTAGGGACACTTGCACGCGTACACACAAACAATGCCTTTAACAGTGTTTTCAACTTACATATTTGACACACTTTGACATACACTACCAGTCAAAAGTTTGGACACCTACTCATTCAAGGGTTTTTCTCTATTTTTACTGTTTTACATTGTAGAATAATAGTGAAGACATCAAAACTATGAAATAACACACATGGAATCATGTAGTAACCAAAAAAGTGTTTGTCAAATATAAAATATATTAAAAGTTAATTTAAAAGTTAATTTGTGGAATTTATTTCTTCCTTAATGTGTTCGAGCCAATCAGTTGTGTTGTGACAAGGTATACCGAAGATAGCCCTATTTGGTAAAAGACCAAGTCCATAATATGGCAAGAACAGCTCAAATAAGCAAAGAGAAACTACAGTGCATCATTACTTTAAGACATGAAGGTCAGTCAATCCGGGAAAATTTCAAGAACTTTTAAATTTTCTTCAAGTACAGTCGCAAAAAACATCAAGCACTATGATGAAACTGACTCTCATGAGGACCGCCACAGGAAAGGAAGACCCAGAGTTACCTGCTGCAGAGGATACGTTCATTAGAGTTAACTGCACCTCAGATTGCAGCCCAAATGTAATGCTTCACAGAGTTAAAGTAACAGACACATCTCAACATCAACTGTTCAGAGGAGACTGCGTGAATCAGGCCTTCATGGTCGAATTGCTGCAAAGAAACCACTACTAAAGGACACCAATAAGAAGAAGACTTGCTTGGGCCAAGAAACACGAGCAATGGACATTAGACCGGTGGAAATTTGTCCTTTGGTCTGAGTCCAAATTGGAGATTTTTGGTTCCGACCGCCGTGTCTTTGTGAGACGCGGTGTGGGTGAACGATTATCTCCGCATGTGTAGTTCCCACCGTAAAGGATGGAGGAAGAGGTGTTATGGTGTGGGGGTGCTTTGCTGGTGACACTGATTTATTTAGAATTCAAGGCACACTTAACCAGCATGGCTACCACAGCATTCTGCAGCGATATGCCATCCCATCTGGTTTGGGCTTAGTGGGACTATCATTTGTTTTTCAACAGGACAATGACCCTACACACCTCCAGGCTGTGTAAGGGCTATTTTACCAAGAAGGAGAGTGATGGAGTGCTCCATCAGATTACCTGGCCTCCACAATCCCCCGACCTCAACCCAATTGAGATGGTTTGGGATGAGTCGGACCGCAGAGTGAAGGAAAAGCAGCCAACAAGTGCTCATCATATGTGGGAACACCTTCAAGACTGTTGCAAAAGCATTCCAGGTGAAGCTGGTTGAGAGAATGTCAAGTGTGCAAAGCTGTCAAGGCGAAGGGTGGCTATTTGAAGAATCTCAAATATAAAATATATTTTGATTTGTTAAACACTTTTTTTGCTTACTACATGATTCCAAATGTGTTATTTCGTAGTTTTGATGTCTTCACAAAAAAATAAAATTGAATGAGTAAGTGTCCAAAATGTTTACTGGTACTGTACATGATTACATTGTGCATATACATTTATACAGTTATTATTCAACATGGCCTCCTCTGGGATTTTAACTCCCAACCTCTTGGTTCACGGCATTCCTATCGTCCTGCTACACCTCCATGTCTGTGTCAGTTATGTTAATCTGACTGTTGTCTTATCATTGATTTGATGTTTACTTATTTCGGTAATTTTAGGGATTTTTGTATAGTTGTCTAATGTTGATGGGGCATATAACCCTGTTTTAATGTTACTCCAGAAAAATAGTTTTTCTTGAGTATATTTTTAACAGAGCTGAGATTTACTTAAGCGCAGTCATCCTATTGCTTACACCCAGCCAGTTGTTTCAGATCTACACAAGTGCCGAGGGAGAAGGGGTTTGGGTTTGCTTCTGGACAGGGCCTAACTATACTGGCCCAATAAGCACATGTCCTTGGGATATCCCTCATTGGACAGTGGTTAGGGCGTTTGTCATTGGTGCTGGTGGCCTGGGTTCGAGACCAGCTAGGGGAGTCCCACTACTCTCACATTCTTAGCAATATATGTTAATGTCATTATTTGGCAACAGTTACAACACCCTTTACTGATATAATTAAAATCAGTTTCTCATTGCAAGATGTGAATCTGTAGGATTACCCCTTGAGCACAAATGATCAGTATTTATTCATTCTAAATAGCTGAGCATCTCTCCATCGTCTTCTTGAAATGCACTTTGAAGTAAATCTCAGCTCGGACTCAGGTATGGCTAACCCTGGAGATCCCTTCAATCTCCATCGAGTTGGGTAAATCTGCTTTTTTTTTTTCTCTTGTGGAATTATCTTAAAGCCCTTAATATTGGGGGATTTGGTGCCTCTAGGGCACGTGTCACTCATTCCACGGAGGGCCGAGTGTGCGGGTTTTCGCTCCTCCCTTGTACTTTAATTGATGAATGAAGTTCACTAATAAGTAAGGAACTAATTAGACCCACACCTGGTTGTCTAGTGCTTAATTGAAAGGAAAAACCAAAAACCTGCAGACAGTAGACCCTCCATGGATTTAAAATATGCCATTTAGCAGACGCTTTTATCCAAAGCGACTTAGTCA